CCTTTTTCTTGTGGCTATTTCAGGACCGTCATCTTATGCTGAATACTGTCACCTCATATTGTGTAGCGCTGGCAAAGCCGTGGCAGCCTGCTTTTGGCATCTATGTTACTTCTACGCCTTTTCGCAAGATGTCTCGGGCATTGTTTCACCTCCAGCCTGTTCATGCGCCGCCTGAGCCGTCCTGGTCGTTGGACAGGGTTCTCTCTTGTCTCTCTTCCCTTCGGTTTGTTGTGGCCCCTTCAGCTCAAGATTGTTTTGCTAAGGCTCTTTTTCTGTTGGCATTAGCCTCTGGGGGTCGCGTGGCGGAGCTTCAAGCTCTTCTCTGGCGCAGAGGTTTTTGCTCCTTTGGTTGTGGTCTTCGGTTTGTTCGTTTGCAGCCGTCTCCCTCTTTTCTGGCGAAGAATGAGACTGCTGCTTTCCGGAGGGGTCCTTGGGTTGTAGATGTTTGGCTTGTCAGGCCGGGGGTTCACCATGTGTTGTGTCTGGTTGCGGCCCTCCGCCGTTATCTGCGCGCCACGGCTTCTGTGTCCAGGGACGCGCTTTTGGTTGATCCGGTTTTCCTTCTTCCCTGTTCGTGGGTTCGGGTCTCTCAGGTCGTCCGTAGGGTTATTAAATCCAGCCAGCCTGCGGTCTATCCCTGTGCCCATGACGTTCGTAAGTTTGCTGCTCTTGCTGCTGTCTTCGGCAATATGTCTTGGGCTGACATTCGGGCACGGGGATTTTGGCGGTCGAACAGGATCCTGGCTGCACGCTACCTTGTAGACGTTCCTGGGCCCGATCGGGCCTGTGTTGCTTTAGGTTGGTGGTTGCAGCCCATTGTCTCGGCTTCGTGTTGAGGAGTGGAGCACCGACCGCCTCCCGGGTAAGTCCCCTTGGTTTTCTTGGTAGTCTTTAGTGAAGTAGCTCCGGGGAGCCATAGGGGCTTCCCCCAGAAAACCAGCGTTGAATGTAATGAAACGCCATTTTCTGGGTGAGTCCCAGAGGCTCCTTACCTTGAGGTTACCTTGAGGTGCTTCCGGGGCTTAGCGTCCCCGCGGCCCGGTCGTCGACCAGGCCTCCTGGTTGCCGGACTGATCAACCAGGCTGTTGGACGCGGCAGCTCGCAGCCTGACGTATGAGTCACAGCCTGGTTGATTAGGTATCCTTTGGAGGGGCTTATCCAGTTCTCTCTTGAACATTGTGAGGGGTCGGCCAGTTATGCCCCTTATGTGTAGTGGAAGCGTGTTGAACAGTCTCAGACCTCTGATGTTGATAGAGTTCTCTCTCAGAGTACCAGTTGCACCTCTGTTTTTCAACGGGGGTATTCTGCACATCCTGCCATGTCTTCTGGTCTCGTGTGATGTTATTTCTGTGTGCAGGTTTGGGACCAGCCCCTCTAATATTTTCCACGTGTAAATTATTATGTACCTCTCCCGCCTGCGCTCAAGGGAGTACAGTTTTAGGCTCTTTAGTCGGTCCCAATAGTTTAGATGTTTTACTGAGTGGATTCTAGCAGTAAAGGATCTCTGCACGCTCTCCAGGTCAGTAATTTCTCCAGCTTTGAAAGGTGCTGTCATTTTGCAGCAGTACTCTACTCTAGAGAGCACAAGCGTTTTGAAAAGTATCATCATCGGTATGGCATCTCTAGTGTGAAAAGTTCTTGTTATCCAACCTGTCATTTTTCTTGCAGTTGTGACGGCTACTTTATTGTGTTCTTTAAAGGTAAGGTCTTCCGACATGAGTACACCCAGATCCTTTACATTGCCTTTTCGTTCTATGTTATGATTTGCCTGAGTTTTGTACGTGGTTTCCGTTTTTATATTTTCATTTTTTCCATAGCGCATGAGCTGGAACTTATCTTCGTTAAACGCCATATTATTTTCTGTAGCCCATAGAAAGACCTGATCTACATCTGACTGGAGGTTCGCCGTGTCCTCTATGTTGCCTACTCTCATGAAGATCCTAGTGTCATCTGCAAAGGATGATACAGTGCTATAGGTTGTGTTCTTGTCTATGTCCGAAATGAGGAAGAGAAAAAGTACTGGAGCAAGCACCCTGGGGGGACCTGGGGGGGACTGATACCCTGGGGGACTGAGCTCTTCACGGTTGATGGGCTGGATTTTATTTTGTTGACTATTACACATTGGGTTCTGTTGGTCAGGAAATTGTAGATCCATCTGCCTATTTTTCCGGTAATTTCTTTTGAACGCATTTATGTGCAATAACACCATGGTCACATTTATCAAAAGCTTTTGCGAAATCTGTGTAAATTACATCTGCGTTTTGTTTGTCTTCCATAGCATCTAATGCCATATCATAGTGGTCCAGCAACTGCGACAGGCAAGAGTGCCCTGTTCTGAAACCATGTTGTCCGGGGTTATGGAGTTGCTGTGATTCCATGTATTTTGTGATTTTACTTCTTAGCACTCTCTCAAAAATTTTTATGATGTGCGATGTTAGTGCTATCGGTCTGTAATTTTTTGCCTCTGCCTTATTTCCTCCTTTATGAAGTGGTGCTATCTCTGCTGTTTTTAGTATATCAGGAATAACGCCAGTATTTAGGCTTTGTCTCCACAGAATGTGGAGGGCCTGCGATAGTGGTTTTTTACAGTTCTTTATGAATATGGAGTTCCAAGAATCCCGGCCTGGTGCAGAGTGCATAGGCATACTGTTTATGGCTTCTTCAAAATCCAGTGGGGATTGGGTGACGTCTGATATATGATTTGATGTTGGTATCGTATCCATGAAAAATTCATTTGGGTTATCAATCTTTAGTGTGTTTAATGGCTCACTGAAAACAGAGTCGTACTGCGTCCTCAGTAGCTCGCTCATTTCTTTGTTGTCATCGGTGAAAGTTCCATCTCCCTTTCACAGGGGCCCGATACTAGATGTGGTTTTTGATCTTGATTTTGCATAGGAGAAAAAATATTTTGGATTTCTTTCAATTTCACTGATGGCCTTTTGCTCTCTTTGCCTCTCCTGGGTTTTGTATGATTCTTGTAGCTTCCGTTCAATTGTTTCTATTTCTCTACCTAACCTTCTTCGCCATTCTTGAGATAGGGTGCGACTCTCAAGTTGTTCAGCGATTCGTTTTCTTCGCCTATATAGGGAACGACGTTCCCGTTCCAATCTGCATCTCTTCCTCTTTTTTCTTAGAGGTATGCGGTTTGAACATATTTCTAGTGCTACTGAGCTTATTTTTTCCAGGCACTGGTTCAGGTTTGCATTTTCTAGCTGTTCTTCCCAGTTTATTTCTGTGAAGTCCTGGTTTATTTGCTCCCAGTTTATCTGTTTATTATTGAAGTTGAATTTGCTGAAATCTCCTCCACCGGGAATCTGGACTGGTTTTGAAGGTCTACTCCCCATGGTTGTCATAACTTCAGTTAAGTTGTGATCTGAGTAACAGGTATTTGTAATCATTATGTTCCTGATCAATTCATCATTATTAGTGAAAATGAGGTCCAGCGTGTTCTCCTTCCTAGTTGGTTTTACTATTTGCTGGTTTAAGGCAAACCTGTCGCACATCCGTAGCAGGTCATTTGCATGTGCCTGTTCATTTAGGCTACTTCCTGGTATTCTTTCTGATATTACTGTATTAGCCAGGTGCTTCCATTTCAGGTGCCGTAGGTTGAAGTCCCCAAGCCCCCAAGCTCCCCGGCATCCCTCCCACCCTACGGTTGGCGGGTTTTTTGCAGTTTTTGATATCCGGTCTCAGAACTGGGGCATGGATCGCCGGCTCGGGGGTCTGGGGCTCCCCCTTCCCCTTCCCGGGGAGGGGGGAGCTGCACATACATGCGGCGCGGCTCGTGTGACGTCATGCTTGTTTGCTCGTTTTTCTTTTGGGGAGTTCTGTCCACTCGTTTGTCAATTTTTGTTGTTAACCAGAATAGGGGTTTGTTTTGTGGCGCTTACCTTTCAGGTGCCTGTCCCGGTCGATGGCAGATATAGAATGCTCCAAATCACATGTGCATTTCTATGGGCCATTGCTCCCCGTGCCTCTGTGAGGGGGCCAGGTTCTGGCTCGTGGTCCCCTGTAGGCCTAGAACTCCACCCACATCGACTGATGCAAAATAGTTAGGATATCCATATCAGCCATGGATAGCTCTGGGGAGCATCTGGGACTCACCCAGAAAATGGCGTTTCATTACATTCAACACTGTTTTTTTCCTGTTGGCATTGGCCTCTGGGGGTTAGGTCGGGGAGCTTCATGCTCTCCTCCGACGCAGGGTTTCTGCTCTTTTGGTCCTGGTGATAGGTTTGTTCGGTTGCAGTCATCTCCTTTTCTGGCGAAGAGTGAAAAACTGCCTTCCAGAGGGGTCCTTTGGTTTGTTGATGCTTTGTGGGTCAGGCCGGGGGTGCATCATGTGTTGTGTCCGGTTGCAGCTCTCCGCCGTTTTTTGTGGGCCATGGCCTCCGTGACTGGGGATGCACTGTGGGTTGATCCAGTTTCCCTTCTAACCTGTTCCAGGGTTTGGGTCTCCCAGGTCATCTGCAGGGTTATTTGGTTCAGCCAGCCTGTGGTCTATCCCCATGCCCACGATGTTCGTAAGTTTGCTGCACTTCCTGCCATATTCAGTAACATTTCTTGGGCTGATATTCGGGCGTGGGGTTTTTGGCGGTCGAACAGGGTACTGGCTGCGCGTTACCTAGTTAATGTTCCTGGGCCTAGTCGGGCCTGTGTTGCTTTGGGTCGCAGGTTGAAGCAAGCTTCTACAATATTTTTAACAATAAATAATTTTTTGAGAAAATCAGTAGGAGCCAAGAGGATGATTCAATCCTATGATGCTCTGAGTACTCCCAAGCACACGCCTTAGACCACCACATCAAGACATGGTTCCTTCTGATTTTCTCATTGATAAATCATGTTAATATGATTTCTTGTGCAAATAATGGTTAGTATTTTTCAATTATTGATAGAATTTTAATTTGTCATTGAAGTTTGTTATAAAATACTTTCATGCATGTTTGACTTACCCTTATGTCCGGTGTGTAATATCTAACCTTACAATTCTATCTTTCAGCTTCCCAAATTTGCTGATGACGATGAAAATGACACCAGCATTGATGACTACTTCAACACCAGTGATGCTTTTTAAACTCCAGTACTGTATTGTGAGAGCCCTGTTACTGGCACAATTGTTGCATTATCAAGCAGTGTAGTATGCAGCAGCCTGCGTCATTGTGGCATACAGCAGCCTGCAGTAATGTGATATACATAAGCCTGCAGTAATGTGGCATACAGCAGCCTGCACCATTGTGGCATACAGCAGCCTGCACCATTGTGGCATACAGCAGCCTGCACCATTGTGGCATACAGCAGCCTGCACCATTGTGGTATACAGCAGCCTGCACCATTGTGGTATACAGCAGCCTGCACCATTGTGGTATACAACAGCCTGCAATAATGTGGTATGCCATAGCATGCAACAATGAATGTACTGGACTGATGTTACTGCATACAAAATCTGCCGTGCAATTACATTTTTCACGTTTTCAAGAGTTTTTGTATATAAGTATACCGTGATAAGTACTTCAAATCAATTCCAGTCTGTAATCATTTAGCCAGATAAATAGTATATTACTGTTTTGAATTAAGTGTATCTCTGATGATAAATTTTCTATGCTTTAATAGGAAAGGTAATTGAAATGAGTGAGGAGCTGCCACCACTGGAGAGGGAGCAGAGGCTCCGTGGCTGTAGATATCTTTGTAGGTGTAATGTTTGTCATGGAAGTTCCCCTTGCACTACCATAATCACATGTGGACAGTTCTGTACTATTGCTTCATAAGCTAAAAATAAATTTTATCCATTGATTAGGTTTTATTTCTGTGGGAAACCCCATCGGCTCCCTGAAGCTATCAAACTGACGTGTGTCATATTAGTTTGGTGTCATCAGTTCCTTGAATTTGAGTGCCTGCCGGGGGCCACGAGTGAGAACCTAGTTACTTCAGACAGGCACAGGGAGCAATGGCCATATGAGCACTCTACATTTGGAGTTAGTCATGTCTGCCATTGACTGGGTATACCACCACAAAGGTAGGCAAAACAATACAAACCTCTAACTGGTTAAAATTGCAACCTACGTCCAAACAAAATCAAAGAATTCCCTCCCCCCAAAAAAAGGAATTATGAAACAAGCAAATCGTTATCCAACTAAGCATGCCCGCTTATTAGCACCGCCCTTCCCTGATGGGTAAGGGGGAGCCCACTCAGGTGAGCTGGCTGCACCACCTTCAGTTTGTTGACATGTGCCGGTGTCCAGATGTTCTCTCTGGCCTCGAATTATTGTCTGGCTTTGGCATTTGTGGCTTTGCCAGCTGTGTGTGTAGTTACTCAAGTGTAATTACCTAAGTGTAGTTACAGGATGAGAGCTACGCTCGTGGTGTCCTGTCTACCCAGCACTCTGTCATATAACGCTTTGAAATTACTGACGGTTTTGGCCTCCACCACCTTCTCACCTAACTTGTTCCAACCGTCTACCACTCTGTTTACAAAAGTGATTTTTCTTATATTTCTCCGGCAGTTTTCTTTCGTTAGTTTAAGTCTATGACCTCTTGTTCTTGAAGTTCCGGGTCTCAGGAATTCTTTCCTATCAATTTTATCGATTCCTGTTACTATTTTGAACATAGTGATCATATTGCCTCTTCTTCTTCTATCTTCTAGTTTTTGCATATTTAATGCCTCTAACCTCTCCTCGTAGCTCTTGTCCTTCAGTTCTGGGAGCCACTTAGTGGCATGTCATTGCACCTTTTCCAGTTTGTTGATGTGCTTCTTAATTTAATATATGGGCACCATACAACCTCTGCATATTCCAGCTTTGGCATATGTCGTGACAAGAATAAGACAAAAGTCGTGAACAATTTCTTTAGTATTTCTCCATCCATGTATTTAAAAGCAATTCTGAAGTTAGAAAGTGTAGCATAGGCTCCTTGCACAATATTCTTAATGTGGTCCTCAGGTGACAGTTTTCTATTTAGAACCACCCCTAGATCCCTTTCTTTGTCAGAATTCTTTAAAGATTTCTCACATAATTTATAGGTTGTGTGGGGTCTATGTTCTCCAATTCCACATTCCATAAAATGACATTTATTCACATTAAATTCCATTTGCCAAGTGTTGCTCCATATACTTATTTTGTCCAGATCTTCTTGAAGAGCATGACAATCATCTAGGTTTCTTATCTTCCCTATTATCTTAGCATCATCAGCAAACATGTTCATATAATTCTGTATTCCCACTGGTAGATCGTTTATGTAGACAATGAACATTACCGGTGCAAGAACTGAACCCTGTGGTACTCCACTCGTGACATTCCTCCAATCCAATACCTTGCCTCTGATTACGGCCCTCATTTTTCTGTCAGTCAGAAAATTTTTCATCCATGTTAGAAGCTTACCTGTCACCCCTCCAATATGTTCCAGTTTCCAGAACAACCTCTTATGGGGAACTCTGTCAAAAGCCTTTTTTAGGTCCAGATAGATGCAGTCAACCCAACCATCTCTTTCCTGTAAAATCTCTGTGGATCGATCATAAAAACTGAGTAAGTTCATTACACAGGATCTTCCAGATCGAAAACCATACTGTCTGTCTGATATTATATCTTTTTCTCCAGGTATTCTACCCATTTAGATTTAATTATTTTTTCCAATATTTTGACTATTACACGTGTCAATGATTCAGGTCTATAATTAAGGGGGTCTTCCCTGCTTCCTCTTTTGTAGATTGGAACTATGTTAGCCTTTTTCCACACATCAGCTACAACTCCTGTAAACAGGGATGCCTGAAAAATCAGTTGAAGTGGAATGCTGAGCTCAGGTGCACATTCTCTCAGAACCCATGGTGAAACTCCATCTAGACCAACTGCTTTGTTCTTATTTAGCTCCTTGAGTATTTTTTCCACTTCGTCTCTAGACACCTCTATGTGCTCTATGTTGTTCTCTGGAATTCTTATTGTATCTGGTTCCCTGAAGATTTCATTTTGTACAAACACACTTTTGAACTTTTTGTTAATGTTTCACACATTTCCTTTTCATTTTCTGTGAAACTATTTCCCATTTTCAACCTCTGAATATTATCCTTTACCTGCAATTTGTTGTTTATGAATTTATAGAATAGACCTGGTTCTGTTTTACATTTGTCTGCAATCCCTTTTTCAAAATTTCTTTCTGCCTCTCTCCTCACTGCCGTGTAGTTGTTTCTCGCATCTTTGTATCACTGGTATGTTTGGGGTTTTGCCCTCTTCCTGTATTGATTCCATTTTTGTCTTTTGGTCTCTGGCCCTCTCGCACTTTCTGTTGAACCAATCCTGTTTCCTAGTTCTGCATCTCTGTTTTGGTATAAATTTTTTTGTGCCTTTATCATATATTTCACAAAACTTGACATACATCTCATTCACTTCCTTGCCTAGCAACAAGTCTGTCCAATTACACTCACTAAAAAAATTTCTAAGGTCGCCATAATGTCCTCTCCTGAAGTCAGGTTTTTCAACTGCTTCAACCTCCTTATTTTCTTCCAGTTTATAATGCATTGCATACTTTATTCCCAAAAAGTCATGGTCACTTTTACCCAAGGGCGGAAGGTACTGAATGTCAAATATCTCTTCCTCCTTCCTGGTAAATATCAAATCTAGCATGGAGGGAACGTCCCCTTCCCTCATCCTCGTAGCTTGTTTAACATGTTGACACAAGAATGTTTCCATGATGAGGTCTACAAATCTACAGGTCCAAAAATCTTCTGTATTAGCTTCATATGCTTCCCAGTCTATGGATTTCAAGTTGAAGTCACCGACTATCAACAGTCGTGATCTATCGTTATCCGCTCTCGCTATAATCTCTCATTATTGTTATAAAACCTTTTTGTTTACTATATAGCTCCTCCTTTGACCATGTGCTGCTTGGCAGTAGACTATATGCATTTATGATCATTAGTTTATCCTCCTCATGGCAGATCTCTAATGCTATTATGTCAACTTCTTGTGGATTGGCAGTCATTATTTCATTCACCTTTAGGTGTTCTTTCACCAGCACAGCAACGCCACTGCCTTTCCTAATTTTTCTGTCATGTCTCCAAATTGAGTAACCCTTTGGGAATATGACCTCGTTTAAAATAACATCTTCAAGTTTTGTCTCCGTGAGTGCAACAATGTCTGGAGTCTGCAGCTGTATTACATCACTTAACTCCAGTATCTTCGATCTCACTCCATCTATGTTCGTGTATGCAATCTTCAGGAACTTGTTCCCCCTCTCCTTATTCTTCACTCCCCCTCTCTCTAATGATTTTGTTGGTTTGCCTTTATGTACCACTTTACTGGTCTGCCTACCCTATCACTTTGTAGAAAAAAAATTTGATTTCTTCTTCATTCCTGCTCTCATTTAAACGTTTTACCTCGGCGAGATTCAGTTTCAGCTTCTCTCTATCTTCTTTTGAAAGATCTTGTCTTAACGACCACACTTTCCCATCCTCATCACTTTGTAATTTTCTAGCATTCCTTAATACTTCTTCCATCTGTTTGGCACCATTTAGGGTGATCCTCAAAGGTCGATCTTTCCCTTTCACGTATCTGCCTATTCTCCTGTAGTCGCACACATTCTCTATGGTAGTAAGACCTTCCACGAGGCCAACAATTTTATCTACTACTTTTGCTTCTTCTACAGCTCTTTCTGACCTAGATGTTATCTCCTTTTCTTTGCAACCAAAAATTATCAGGGACTTACTCCAATCAGCTGTGTTTTGCACCAACTTCGGGTTAGATGCCAATTCCTTTCTCACTTCCAGCCTAATGTTTGTTTTATCTTGGTTGCTGCAGTGTTTGGCTTCCTTTACTGCTTCTTCAATTTTTTCCTTCTCCTTGGCCACTTGTGCATAGCTGAGTTGCATATCCTTCCTGCACTGTTCTATTCCCTGTGTAACTTCCTCCATCTGTGCTGACAAAAGCTGTTTCTCCTGTTGAAGCTGGAGAGGTGTGATGGTGGCTAGGTGTTTATTAGTACACTGGGCTGCATGCACCTAGGACTGTCTTCCCTAGGTGCCCAGTAAGCACTTTCCTTGCGTGTTAGGGTTCTCTTCCCTGGGACGTTTGGGTCTCACTCCCATTTGAGAGCTTCATCGTTTGATGGTGTTCTCACCCTTGGGGTACATCAGGGGTCTTAGGCTTTTCCCGGTTAGGGAGTGGGATTTTGCTGGGTGGGGCGCACTGCAGCCGGCGCAGCTTGCATTCAGCGGCGGCCGACGCTGCTCTCTGGGGACCGGTTGGTTGTACTCGCTTAGTTGTACTCATTTAGTTGTGCTTGGGGGTGGGGTTGAGCTTTGGCTCTTTGGTTCATCCTCTCAATTGTCAATCAGCTGGTGTATAGATTCCTGTGCACCAGTTGATTGATTGGTGTACAGTCAATATGATAGTGTAGATATGATAGAGCTACTGAGCTCTATCATATTTACATTTGAAACTGTGTACGGAGTCTGCCTCCACCACATCACTGCCTAATGCATTCCATCTGTTAACTACTTTGAAGTTGTGTGGGTGATCCTCCTCTGTTGCCCCGAGGTTTCACACCGACCACCGGTTGTCAGTTTGCCTGCAACAGACAGGGGTTACCAGCTTAGCTGGCCCCAGTGCCTGGGCTTCCTGTAGGGTTGTTCTTTGTCTCTGCCTCGTGGTGTCATCCATCCTGCCTCAGTCATGCTGCTGCCTGTTGGGTTGGAGACACTTACAACCCTGATTCTTGTGGGACATGTTCTCCGCATGTTATTCAATTTACCCATTCCTCGTCTGAGGATGTTAGGGGTCAGATGGCAGCTTTGTTGTATGCTAG